GGGGAGGGTGGGAGGGCGGGGCTGGGCCAGCGTCAGGGGGTCTCACTAAACCTGACCTTGCGGAGGACTCGGAAGCTCCGGCTACTCGGGGATTCCCGAGAAAGAATGAAGAGCAGCGTCCGTGTGTCCACTGCCCTGGCCCCCCAGTCACCCGTGACCTTAGGGAAAGGGACTAGAAGGAGCCCCGGGGCCGCTGGAAGGCGCGTCTTCCTCCCAGAGGTAGAAGATCAAAAGCGAGAGGGATGGCAGACTGGGCCCCCCCTCCCCCCTGCTGCTGGCCGCAGCCCGCCCGGGAGGGGCTGATTTCCTTCTCCCTCTGCACACCCCACTTCTGGGTTGGGGGCTTAGCAGCTCCAGGCATGGGTGCCACCTGCAACGTTCTTTGCCCAACGAGTTCTACCTTGAAGATGGTTCGGATGCGTCACTTCCTTCTGGGTGGCCTCTGAGGAGACCTTGCGAGCCTGGAGCTCCCACCCCACCCCGCAGGGCTCGCCTGGGGAGACCCGGCACCAGCCCCCGAGACCCGGCACCAGCCCAGCACCGGATGCCAGTGCAATCGCCGGCTTCCAGGGGGCTCCAGAAGGCACTGGGATTAAGGCTAGCAGTGAGATGGTGAGAGCAGGAAAGGGCTCCCCAGGGCGCAAGGGGCGCCCCAAAGAATGCAAGGTCACTGAAGGCAAGACTCTCCCTACCCTGGAGAAATGCCCAGGGAGGCTGGGAGCCGGGAAGGGAGGCTGGGGGCCAGCACCCAGACCAGACAGCAGTGAGTCTGGGGTGGGGTACGGCTGAGCCAGCTTCCAGGCCCCTTTGTTTTGGGGGCATCCAGGTAAGGACACATCTCCACCTCCGTCTCCAGCCCCAGGAGCCCCGCAGCCCTGGCATGCCTCTGCAGCTCCCCGGGGCCAGTCCTGAGGCGGCACTGGGGCCCCTCCTGTGGCCTGGTGGGGCCCCTCAACGCCTTCGCACCCCCACGACAGGTGGGGACTCTGGCTGAGCTGGGCCCAGACTGGCAAAGCCCCAGCCCACCACCCCTCGCTCCAACTCTCAGGCTTCCCAGGGCCAGGCGCCCCCTGACTGCCTGGGGCTGGGAGAGGGGCAGGGTCCGGTATCACCCCCTCCCCACCCCACCAGCCTCAGGCCACCACAGCTCAGTTTAACCCTTTCCTTCCAGGGGTGACTGAGAAGTGGTTCCTAACCCCAGCCTCCCTGCCCTGGCCCCCAGGGAGGCAGGTGGGTGCAGACCAGGGGCCTTGGGAAGTGAGAACAGCCTCCCTCCCCACCCCCACCCCTGCCCACCACCCTGGCCCCCAGGCCAGTCCTTTCAGCCTTTGTCTGCTGGTGGGGTCAAGGCAGCACACCCCGAGCCAAGGGGAGTCTCCTATCCAGCTTCTCCCCACTGGACCCCAATTCCCTGGCTGTGCTGGACTCCGGTCGGGGTGCCAGCCCGCAGGCCGGGTTTTATTGGGGTGGAGAGTCCACCTTGGTGTCTGCCCACCAAAAGCAAGGAGTGGCCAGCGAGGCGCTCACCTTGCCCGGTCTCCTGCCTGGGTCCGTGCCCACCCAGAGACGTGTGGGAGCAGGGGCGCGGGCCCGCAGAGGTCACCCTCCTCCCGCCTTGTTTTAAGAGCCAACAGGAGGGGGATCCGCACCGCCCTGCAGGCCGGGGGCACTCAGAGGCAAGGCCGGTGTGGTGCGGACACTGGCACCCGCGGGGTCTGCAGCGGCCTCCAGGCCCTCCCAGCCCCTCTTTGTCGGAGGCCGAGGCGGGCGAGGCGGGTTCTCTGGAAGCGGGTGGTCGCGGGGTGGTCGCGGGCTCGTTCCTCCGCTGCGGGCGAGGAGGGTTGTTCCTGCCCCGCGCTCCGGGGAGGCGCCTGGCCGCGGGCCGGGCCGCACAGAAGCACCGGGCAGCGGCCGGGCGTGGGCGAGCGGGAAGGGCGAGCGGCTCTAGCGGCCCCAGACCCCGGGCGGCAGGCGGGCATCTCCGCGCGATGGAGGCTCGGCCGCGCTGCACCCGGGAAAGCACAGCCAGGCGGGCGCAGAGCCTGGAGGCGGGGGCTGGCCCCGGGTGTGGAGGCTGGGCGGGGGCTTCTGCCTGTGGGACAGGATTCCCTGGACACAGACCAACTGTCTGCAGCTCGTTGGGACCCCCCACCCTCCGCCATGGCTCTTCGGAAGGTGCCAGCGCTCGAGGGGCTCTTCCTGGGAATCGTGTTCTGGTGTGGCCGGGCTTGGGGTCTCGGCAGCCTCCTCGCATCACGGCCTCGTCCCTCTCCGTCCCTCCTCCTCTTGCTCCTGCTCCATGGCCGGGGGATGCCCCTCAGTCCCTGCCTGACCAGCCGCCTGGTGCCAGGGGTCCCGGGCTGCCGCTCGCCGGACGCTGGGTTTGCCGGGAGAAGGCGGCTTTGCTCGGATCTCTGCCGCCCTGGTCTGCTGAGCCCACACTTGGTGAAAGAGCGTGGGGGAGGTCCCCCATCCTGGGCCCCGCTGATGCCAGGAAATTTGAAAATCCTTCTGGGGAACCACCCGGCAGTTTTCCAGGGGACGCAGGGAGAAAGGAGCCTGGGTGGCTGCGGGGCAACATGGCCTTGTGCCTCTGTCCACCCACTTCCCGCTTAGCCACAGAGGCAGCGTGTCCCCGGCCTGCCCGGGGCTCTCAGGGTCGCAGGCAACTCCCCTCCCAACCCCAGGCCTGTGTCAACAGGGAGTGCCCACGGACCCTCGCCAGCCCCAGTTCCCCAGGGACAGGCAGGCTGTGGGGTGCCATTTTCTCAGGCCCAGGGAGGCCCCCTGGCAGGTGTGCCTGGCCAGGCCCTGTGGCCATCATGTGCCCCCTCCAAATGGGGGCAGTGGAGGGGCACAGGAAGCGAGAAGTGAGTGGCCCCAAGTGAGCAGTGGCTTCCCCATCGGCCTGAGACGCACAGAGGGTGGCTGAGCCTCCCCAGCACTCAGGAGGCCTCGCCCAGCCAGGTCCTGCCACCCTTCATGGCCAGGTGACTCCCAACCCTCCCTCCTTGGGTCCCTGCCCCCAGCAGCCCCTTGGTAGCAGCCTGGTCTGCGGCGCAGGGCTGCTGGCCAGGCCAGGCCTGGGAGGGGAAGGGAGGTGGCAGCCCTGGCTCGGGGCCTCTGAAGCCCCAGGTGGCCCGGGACAGCCGCCCATGCCTGACCCAGCCTCTCGCCCAGCAGCCTCCCCCGCCCCCGGGGCCTGGAGCTGACCCACTGCAGGCCGCAGCTTTGGGGCACAGGGCTCCCCACTCGCTGTCCACCCAGGGCCTTTTGTGTCGATGCTCTGTGCCCTGAGTTGCCCTTTTGGATGTTTCTCAAAGTTCACACATTTCCATAAAAATGCATTTTAGATGATGGACAGGCGTGCCGGGCAGCGGTGCTGGTGGGCTGCCTGCCTCCGCCGGGACCACAGGAAAGGACCCGAGGGAGAAGGGCGAGACAGGGGAGCGGAGTTCAAGGGGGACACCCCGTCAGCGGCGGGAGGGCCGTTCAGAAGGGGACAGGGCCAGAGGGAGGGGAGACAGAGCGGCCCCGCCTGGGCATCTCCTTCTCTTCTCCAACGGGTCCTGCTCGCGTGAAACTAGTTGAAAGAATTTTAAGGCCCAGTAATGGTGGGGTGGCCTGGCAGCCCCCCTTGGGCCAGCGAGGGGGACGCGGCCGGGGCGCTGGGGGAGCACAGCCGGGTGGGGCATTTTTCTCCCCAGGGTTCTGCAGCCCCGGCCGGGCCGCCCCTCTCGTGCCGGAGCAGCGGGCTGGGCTCCGGGCCCAGCGCCTGGGTTTCTCCTCCTCCCGCGCCCGGGGCGACGCGGGGGGCGCGGCTGGTCCGCGCTGGTCCACGCGCGTCCGCACGCGCCTCCCTGCGCGCGCGCGCCCGGCAGAGCCGGGGAGGCCCCGCCGCGGCCAGGACGGAGCTGCCGGCCCCGGGCCGGACGGACGTGAGTGTCCCCCGCGCGCGGAGCGCCCGGCGTCCCTTTGTATCTCGACAGCTCGTGCAATATTATTTATGCGTTTTGTGCAAGGAATTGTGGGACTCTCCCCGCGGCGCGCAGTGTGGACACGCGAAGGGCGCCGCGTCCACGCGCGCCGCCGGGGTGACCGGCCGCCAGGCGGGCGCGGGGTGGGGCGCGGGCCGGCGCGGGGCCGGGGCCGGGCGGGCCGGGGCTCCCGCACGCGCCCCGCGGAGGCGGCGCTTTCAGGGGGGCGGGGCGCGGCGCGGCGCGGTCCCCGCGCGGGGGTCACGTGGGCGCGCGGCGCGCCGGCCATTGGCCCGAGGCACGTGTCCCGGAGCCGGGCCCGCGACGTCACTCGCGGGGTCGGTTAAAAATACGAACAAAAATCCGGAGCGAAAGTGTCTCGGCCGCGCGAGTGGCGGGAGGTCCGGCGCGGGCGCAGCGAGGCGCGGACGGCGAGCAGCGCGGCGGCCCAGCCCGGCCCGGCCCGGCCCGGCCCGGCGCCGCGCTCCCCATGCGCCTGGGGCCGCGGGGCGCGGCGGGGCTCGGCGGGGGCGCGGCCGCTCTCCGGCGGGGCGCCGGGGCCCGCGGCGGGGCGGCGGCCGGGCGCGGGGAGCCCCGCGGGCGCCCATGAGCGAGCCGGCGGCGGCGGGCGCGCTGACCGCTCGCGCCCCGCACCCTCGAGGGCCGGCCGGGCGCGCAGGCGGCGGCGGGCGGGCGGCGGCGGCGACCCGGGCGGGCCCGGGCGGGCGCGAGCGCGGAGGGGCGCTGCCTGCATGCGCGCGGCGCCGGCCCCGGGCGGCCGCGGCGGCAGCGCCGGAGCCCGAGGCGGCCGCTCGCGCGGCGCAGCGCGCAGCCCCGGCGGCGCCCCCGGCCCCCGCGGGCCCGTAGCGGCCGTCTAGCCGGGCGGCTCGGGCGCTCCCGACCGGCCGCTCCGGACCCAGCCCTGGCGGCGGCCGCCGCGCGCGGCCTCGGGAGGCGCGGCGGGGCAGGGGCGCGGGCCGGCCGCGCGCGGGCCGAGGGCTGAGCGGGCGCGCGGGGCGCGGCATGGAGGGGCGGGAGCCCCCGCCCGGCGGGGCGGCGGCCGAGGGGCGGCTCAGCCCCGGCGGCGGCCCGGGGGACGCGGACACCGGCCGCCGGCGCGCGCTGCTGCGGCCCGCGGCCCCGCCCGCGCCGGGCGACCCCCCGCTCCCGCCCCGCGTCACCAACTTCTTCATCGACAACATCCTGCGGCCGGAGTTCGGGCGGCGCAAGGACGCGGGGCCGCGCGGGGCCGGCGCGGGGGGCCGAGGCGGCGCGGAGGGCGGCGCGGGCGGCGCGGAGCCGCCCCCGGGGCCCGGCCGCCAGCCCCGGCCGAGCGCGCCCTGCGCGGCGGGCCCGGCCGGCGGCGGCGACGCGCCCGGGGACGGCGAGGGCGGCGGCCCCGGCAAAGGCGGCGACCCCCGCGGCCCCCCGGACGGGGCGCTCAAGGCCCGCGGCGCGCGCGGCGGCGACCCCGCGGCGGGCTCGGACTCGGACAGCTCGCAGCCCGGCGCCGCCCTGGGCGCGCAGCCCATGCTCTGGCCGGCCTGGGTGTACTGCACGCGCTACTCGGACCGGCCTTCGTCAGGTGAGCGGGCGCGGGCGCGGGGCGCGGGCCCCCCACACAAAGACGCCGCGCGGCGACCCGGGCGCGCCGGGCCGGCCGGCCGGGCGGGGAGGGCGCGGGGCCGCGGCGGGGGCTGCGGACTTCCCGGGCCGCGGGCCGCGGGCCTCTCGGCGCGCGCTGCTGGGGCCTCCGCGCAGACCCGCGCCCGCCGCTCCCGGCCGGAGGCGAGCTGGGCAGGCGGGGCCGGGCGGAGGCGCGGGCGGGGGGGGGGGGGCGCGCCCAGCCCCTCCGGGCTCCTCCGGGCTCCCCCGCGCGCCCGCAGCCGGCCCGGCCCGCCCGGCGCCGGGTCCGGGAGCAGCGGGGGCGGCTGACAGCTCCCGGCCGGCCGGGCGCCGCGGAGGGCAGTGGGGCAGCGCGGCCTGCGCGCCCGGGGTCGCCTGCCCGGCGGCGGGGCCCGGCGCCCACCTCGCGCCCGCCCGCAGGAGCGCGGCCCGCCGGGGCCGGGGTTCCCGCGGCTGCTCCGGGTGGGACGAAGCGCGGCGGAGGCGCTCGGGCGGGAGCCCGCGGGCGGAGCCCCCGGGTGTTTCCTGGAACTGGGGCTTCTGCGCCCGTCCGCGCGCGTGTGGACTCGCCCGCCGCGCCACAGGCAGGTCCGAGCTGGGAACCGCCATTAGCAGCGAGCGGACTCCATGTGCCCCGCGCTGGCCGCCGAGGCCGGACGCCCGGCCCCGGGCGCAACTGTTCTCGGTCCTTTCCTCCGTCCCCGCGCGACGGCCGCCCCTGCAGGAGCGTGCGTGTCTGGCGAAACCCAAATTTCTCCAGCTAGATTTGAAATTTGCTCCATTGTTCTGCCTCCGCCTTTGTTAATATTTAATTAACATAGCGGCTCACAATGGGGCCAGCCTGGAGCCGCCGGCTTTGTGCGGGGGGCAGTCGGGCCGGCCCCAGACCCGCGAGCCGCCCGGCGGCCCCGCGCCCTCCTGGATGTTAAAAATTCCCGGGGAAGCGTGGGTCCCGCTCCGGCCGGGCTTGAGAAGGAGGCGGCCGGCGGCTCTCGCGCAGCGGCTTGGTTCTGCTTCCCGGGGCCCCGAGTGTCTTTGCAGTTTGAAAGAAAAATCAAGAAAGAAAGGGAGCTCAAAATTCTGATTTTAGGGAGGTTTTCTTTCATGCAATTGGTGCGTGTCTTTCTGAGGACCGTTTCGTGTGTGCCGTACCGGGGCGCAGGGCCTGGAGAGTTTGGGGGGCAGGGAGGGCCTGGGCAGAGAGGAGAGAATGGAGTCTGGGCGCCGTGGGGAGGGAGCAGAAGGCTGGGTCTGTGGGCGTCTGGAGGCCTCGCGGCGCCATCTCCTTACCTTCTAATGCCCCCCCCAGAGTTGGTGGCAGCGACCCAGGCCCGGTGCTTGCTCCGGAGGTTGCGGAGCAGGTGGCTGGGCAGTGGAGGGAGCTGTGCGGCCGGTGTGAGTCGGGTGTGCTCCCGAGCGGGGAGTGCTGGCCCAGGCCCTCAGAGCCCTTCTCTGGAGTTTGCCTCCGGAAAGCTCTGGGAGAGAGCACTGGGTGGGAGAAGGCTCTGGGCCGGCCTGGGGATGGTCCGGACCCTTTGCTCTCTCGCCTTCTACCTCCTGGGCTGGGGGTGCACCCCTGGGGCTGATCCTGCAGGATGCAGAGCCGGCTGGGGGGGCCAGAGGACCTGGGAGCTGGTATCTGGCCTTCCCGGGCTGCCGCTGTAGGCGACTGGAAAGAAGTTGGAACACGGGTGCGCCCCAAAGTTCATCCCCACACCACCCAGGCTAAAGACCCAGGCGAGCGGTCCGGACCTGGCCCCCCAGAGGCCTCGGTGCCTCCTCCCTCCTCCATACCCTGGGGAGGCTGAGCCCAACCCGACAGGGAGCATGGAGGCCTCGCTCCCCGTTCCTCCCCATTTGGCGCCCAGCCTGTGGCCAGTGCTGGAGCCTTACACCGGGAGGTTGTCTCCCACACTGACCTCAGGCAGGGCCAGGTGCTGGGAGGAGGCCGTGGGGGGGAAATTCGACCCTGGGTGGGGCGGGTGTACCTGGGGAGGCTCTGAAGAGGAGCTCTCGCCCCAGGCCTCCAGGGAGGTTGCCCCAGGCGGGAGCTGAGCGACAGGCAGCGGCAGTCAGCACTCACAGGAAGGGTCCCCTCCCCTCTCCTGGGAGACCCGGGCCCAAAGAGACCTGCCAGTGGCTCAGTGCTTCCCCCTCCCCCGCAGAGGCCAGTGCTCCCAGTCCTGCAAGTAACAATGAACTTGGACCCACAGGCTGGTTGGGGAAAGTCACCCTCTGGGCCCCTCCAGTTCTCAGGATCCACCTGCCCCAGGCTCCCCGGGCCTTGGTGCCCTGTGGGGTGTCCCCTGTGGGGGTCCTGCCAGACCCTCAGAGTATCTCTGCATCTCTGCCTTCCCTTCCCCCTCCAACCTCCCCTCCACCCCTCTCTCCAGTTGCCCCCAGCCTTATCCTGCGGCAGAACCCAGGGAGGGCTCTGGACACTGGGCTGAGTAGGTTTCCTTCCTTCGAGCCCTGGTCCGTGGTGGCCTCCGCACAGAGCCTGCCCTCTCCCACCCCCTCTCACCGTCCCCCGCTTTCCCTCTTGCACCCAAATCCCCTCTATGCGGGTCCCAGAGTCAGTGCAGCCCAGTGGCCTTGGGCAGGCACGTCCAGCCCCGCCCGTCAGAGGACCCCCTTTGGAGCCATGTGTGGCCAGAGCCCTGGTAACCCGTGTCCACTCTGTCCCCTGCCCCTCCAGGCCCCAGGTCTCGCAAACCAAAGAAGAAGAACCCGAACAAGGAGGACAAGCGTCCACGCACGGCCTTCACGGCGGAGCAGCTGCAGCGGCTCAAGGCCGAATTCCAGACCAACAGGTACCTGACGGAGCAGCGGCGCCAGAGCCTGGCCCAGGAGCTCAGCCTCAACGAGTCCCAGATCAAGATCTGGTTCCAGAACAAGCGGGCCAAGATCAAGAAGGCCACGGGCAGCAAGAACACGCTGGCCGTGCACCTGATGGCGCAGGGGCTGTACAACCACTCCACCACGGCCAAGGAGGGCAAGTCGGACAGCGAGTAGCGCCGGCCGTGCCTCGGCCCCCGGCCGGGCCACCCAGGACACCAGCACCCACCGCGGAGCAGCGCGCCGGCCACGGTTCTGCAATACTCTGTACATAATTCACAGGTGGTGTCAAATCCCCAATATCTGACGATAGAATATTTTTTGAGTTTTTTGTGTGAATGAGGTTATGCTAATTTTAAGATTTTTTTTTTTTTTTTTTTTTGCAAAGGGGGCTGCTTAGGGCTTCATCTTTTTTAATCCCCAATCTCCACGACGGGACATCGGACACTTTTTTTTTTTTTATTTCAAAAGAAGAAAAAATTTAAAACAACTTGCTGAAGTCCAAAGATTTTTATTGCTGCATTTCACACGACTGTGAACCGAATAAATAGCTCCTACTTGGTCTGTGAGTTCCGCCACTTTGTCCGTGTGGGTGTGGTGAGCGCCTCGCCGGGCAGCGCTGGGCCCGGCGGGGCCGCAGTGGTGGGACAGAGCCCTGCATCGCCCGCCCAGGCCTGCGGCTCTCCCTGCGCCTCGCCCTCCTCCGCCAGCCTCGGCGGCCTGTGCCTGGCAGGCCGGCGGCTTCCCTGCCACCCCAGCTGCTTCCCCCCGCGGCCCGAGGCCCTGCTTGGTGGGGTGACCCTTGTCCTTCCAGCCAGGCCCAGGGACTCTCCTGTGGCCCCTCCGAGGGCTCCCGAGGGAGCTTTCCCTCCCCCTTCCTTCCTTTTTTTTTTTTTTAAAGCGGCCTCCTCTGCTCCGCGCTTCCTTCGGAGGGAACGCGCGCGTGTGCACGCCGGCAGACCTGTGCCCGGCTCTGGGGCGGGTGGCCAGGCTCTGGGGCGGGTGGCCACCCGGACGCCTCAAGGAACTCAGAACCCTCCAGGATCCAGAGGAAGGAAGAAAATGTGTAAATAATCATTTCCCATCACCTTTTGTCTTTTGTTTTTTTAAATATACATTTTATTTTTTGAAGGTGTGGTACCGTGTAAATTAAATATATTCGCTCTATCCCCCGCCGAGTACATATATATATAAACAAGCACATTATCTCTAAGTCCACACTGTCCGCGTTTCGTGTCCGGGAAGACTCAGTCCGGTGGTGGCCGGGACGCCCCGGGGCCTGCTGAGCGAGGAGTGGTGCCCCGAGGACGGAGGGAGAACTCTCTTTGCCTTAAACCTCTTTATTTCACTGCGATAAGTTTCCCTTTGTACAGATGAGTGCAAACCTTTTTTTAAAAAGGAAACTATAAAAACAAAAGTTGTAATTTAAAATTCTGTGAATAACCATCTGCTGCTTAGGAAACTCACTGAGATGATATGCCTTCTTAGCAGGAAGCAAAGGTCTTTGTTTTTTTAATTTTTATTTTCGATTTATAAAACACGTGCATTTTCCAGTTCCAGTATCAAATATTTATAATCTGAAGAGAAATGAATGTTTCTATTTACAGACGTGGTTATCAGATTGTGAACATTCCCCTGCATTTTCGTGTGTTTAAATCCTTGAAAGTTAAACCATAAATAAAAAAACAAAACGCTTTATTGTAAAATACTGGATGTCCGAGGTGGAATGACTGTTTGGAAGGTGTCCTGAGAGCCTGGCTGCCCAGGGCAACGCCCAGTGCGGGAGCCCGGCGGGGGTGCCCCGCTTCTGTAGCCAGAGGGTAACTGGAGGTTTTAAGTGGTGCCCACTCTGGATGTCTCACGTGTGAGCACAGCGCAACCCCCGACACGCAGGCACACATTCCTTACCAGAGAAAAGTGTTCCAAAAATAGGGTGCCATTCCACAGCCAATATTCTCAAACCCTGCAGGACCCCCCAGGCACCCCGTGGAACCCGGAAACCCACCGCACACAGGACAGAGGGACAGAGGCCTCTGGCTTCCAGCCCCAGCAGCGGCACCGCCTCCTGAGGACGGTGGGGCAGGGCGGGGCGGCTTTGCGGGCTGAGGCTCTCTGGGTCCCCGGAGCCCTGTGGGCTAGAAATGGTTGGGGTCTCCAAGCCCACAGCACCTGTGCCCACCTGCTGTTTCCAAACTTTGTTGACTTCCAAAAAGTTTTCCCCCAGTGGAAGAAACTTGCAAAGGGCCCACTTTCAGGCGTCTTCAGTTCCACCCCGCACCTCCCCCTCACCCCCATGCTGGGTCTGCTGGCAGGAGCGGGCACGGGTGGGGGGCGGGTCTGCAGACACTGCCCGCCAGTGACTTTGCTCTGGAGTCCCCGCTGCCTGGCTGGGGGCACCTTAGGGTCATTGCCAAGGGGGTGCGACCCCACAGGTCAATCCCATCGCCTCCCTGCTCCCCCCCCCACAGTGCTGAGGGGCCAAAGATTCAAAACAAAACAAAAACCAGGAGCACAGTATCCGTTACCTGGCTGGCCTCTGCCTTGTCTTGTGTTTTTAGGCAGAGCCAGCAGAGCCACAGCGCACGGACATTCTCCTTTTCTGATGTGTTGGCAAATCCCAAGGCCTGCAGGAGGCCACATGTGCTTGCGAAGTGATGAGCTCCCCGTTGCCGGGGGCGTGCAAGCGGGAGGGCCTGCTTTCTCGGAGGGGAAAGATTCTCTTGTTTTTTGTCTCTGGCGGGGGTTGGACTGGATAAGCCCTCAGACCCTCAAAATGCTGAGATTCTAGTTTTTCTCCAAAGTTTACTACTTTTTTCATTTGCCAGTCTACCATCTAAGCCTGTTCTCCTCTGGGCCAGCCAGCTGCACTCACCCGGGTACACTCAGACTGGAGTCCAGCCTGCAGGGAAGGCGCCTTCTCCTTTCTGAAGTCCTTCCCCACCTGGCCGGCTCCTGCTCTGGGCCCAGCAGGCAAGAGTCATCAGAGCAACTCTCCAAAGACACATCCCCTCAACTCTGTCCTTGGCAGCAGAGAGTAGGCAGTGGAGAGTGTTCGCAGCAGCCCTTGCTCCTTCCAGCTAATCGTGCCCCCAGGCTGTCCCGCCCCAGGCCTCCACGTCCCTGGGGAGCTGTGTCCACAACCTCCATAGACAGGTTGGGGGAGTCCTGGTGGGGGGACCACAGCCACCCCCAGGCCTGCCCAAACAGGCACCTCTGCCAGGGCACTGTGGGAGGGGACGGGCAGGGCTCCCAGGGGTTCAGGGCACCCGCTGTCCTGGCTGCCAGCAGGGGTGGGGTGAGCAGGGCGCTCCTCAGACTGCAGCCCAAAGCTGAGGGTCACTCAGGCCCGAGGGTCGAGGGTCACAGGGGATGGTGGTGCCCCGAGCTTCTTTGGAGAGACCAGGAGACAGCCAAAGGGCTCATAGCCAAAGGGCTCCATATTTTTCGCTTTTTCTTTGAGTGAAAAGGGCAAATCGCTGGGCTCCCGGGCTGCCTGGTGCAGGGAGGCCCAGGCGCCCAGCAGGCTGCAAATGCCTAAATCCTGTATATGCCAGTTGAGCCAGCTGGAGGCTGGTTTGCTCGCCCGCTGGGCTGCACGTCATCCTGTCCATGCATCTTGGTCTTGGCCACCGGCTCAGAAGGGTCCCGGCTCCACCGAAAGCAGCAGCCGGCAGAGCCTGGCGCCGCGCGCACTAGCGACTGGCCACAAAGGGCCTGGGCCGCTGGAGAACTCACAGGCCCCCGGGAGGCCCACACCAGCCTCAGCAGAGACCAGGCTCGCCCCACCCAGCACCCCCACTCACCAGGGCAGCCCCCGCCCCCACCCCCAGCCTCGTGGGGGGATCCCTTTCCTGCGGCCCTCTGGCCCATCTGGCCGAGGGCAGGGCCTTCTCCAGGCTCTCGGACAGGACAGGAACGGCAGGAACGGGGCGCTGAGCCCCTGAACCCTGGGCCCCCGCGCAGGCTTCCCTGTGCGTGCTGGGCAGCGGGCCTGGAGCCCCAAAGCCGGGAGCAGCGGGAGCGGGGAGGCCACTCACATTAGCATTACTGACCGCAAACGCTCCTCCATGCGTCCCGCCCTCCAGGGAAGACAAGCGGCCCTCCCTGCCCTGCCTGAAGCCGACAATCCTCATGAAAGGGGGACCGATTGGGAGGCTTCCTGGACCCCAGTCCATCGCAGCGCACCCCAGGCCCTCAACTTACGACTGTGCTCGGCTCATTAGCACAGTGCAGGCCCCCTCCCCTTAGAGGGGCTTGGGGAGACCTGTCTGGGGGCAACTCCAGAGTGCGGGGAACAGGCGGCCCCTAGGGCGGCTCGGGAGCCAGCGCAACACTCGGGTGGAGCCTTTCCTCAGCCCCCCAGGTCCCTCCGGGTTCTCGGTTCTCGGGAAGGGGACCCTGGCATCCAGAGCCGTGCGCCTGCCCTCCCCTCCCTCCCAGGCCTGAGCCGGGGCTGGGCTGAGCAGAAACAAAGAGTAGCGGAGCTCCATCTCCCCGCCGCCCTTCACCCCCACAGCCTCGAAGGTGTCACAGAGAGGGCCCGCGGCACCCCACCTGTCTCCACGGCACCCCACCCTCTCCCCAAACCGCCCGAGGAGGAGCTGGGCGCGGGCGGCGGGGGGGCGCAGCACTTCCCGCTGGGGCGGGGAGGGAGGCCCAGAGCGCCCTTTGCAGGGCCCTCTGCGCTGCCCCATCTGTCGGAGGTGGCACTTGGCGCGCGGGCGGAGCGGAAGGGGCCGCCTGACGGCCTGACGCCCTTCAGCCGCGCGTTCGGGGTTCTCTCCTCCCGCCAAGTCCTTTGTCTGGACCGGACTGTCAGGCTCTGCCCGCTCGCCCTCCGCCTTCCCGGCCTCTACCCTCGCCGGCTTCCCTTTCTTCCCGGCCCTTTCTTCCCTCTCTGGATGGGTAATCACAGGCTGCAGCTGCCAAGCGCCGAGGATTTGCTGCCCCGCTTCTGTGTCTGCTGCCCCTCCCAGCAGCGCCCTGGCAGCTTCCCCCCAACTTTGCAGGGACCCCCTGCCACTCCCTCCCCCCCCCACCCCCGCCCTCTGACTCATTTGGAAGCCTGGGGCCCTGTGTCTGAATTTTCCTTGGCGCCCCAAACTTTGTCAGAGGCGTTTGATAGCCTTCCTCCCCCGCCCCACCAACAAGCTGCCTTTCTTTGGACTCAGGATTCCTGAGCAAGGGATGGCAGAGCCGGCGCCTTCGCAAGTGCCCGCCACGCTGGCGCAGGGGCTCTGGAGCGGCCAGCCCAGCCCGCCAGCCGCTCCCATGCTGCTCAGAGGTGCCCGCTGCCGCCTCAGATGTGCCTCCTGATGCCGGAACATCTGGAACAAGACTGGGGCAACCTCGAGGGTTACAGACACCTGCTTGCTGGGCAAAGGCTAGAGCCTGCAGAGAAAGCCCCAGTGCCAGGAGCTGGCTTGCCCCCACACACATCTGGGGGAGGATTCAGGGGCCCCAGCTTTCATGCCAATATGCACTTAACACAGTAGCAGGAGGTGGGGGTGGGGTTGGGAGAGGGGCCTTGGGGCCAGGCAGGCCTGTCTGTGTGACTCCCCCTC